AATCAAGCGGATGAGTGAATGCAAAGGAGGTTTCATGTTGGATTTAAGATTGGGAACGCTTCCCTGTTATCGACTGTTTCCATGGTAATAGATGATAATTTCTTTACCCTCAGAGCCGGCCTCTCGATTAGTTGATGCGCGCCACCGCTATGGAATTCTGTTTGAACAGTTCCCATAAGCCTGAGCAATCATTGATATGACCTTAGCCGACAGATGATTGATTATGAAAAAAAAAAAATTCAGGTCGTTTGTACTACGTCTGCATATGATTGTTCTAAGATCAGAACCGTTTGTTCCTCTTCCAATTATTTATTAAAAAATAATGAAAAAATGGCCCATGTACTTGGCCGACACACATTAAAATTTATATGTTTCCCTGTTTTTTGGGATTGTTAGGACCTAGAATCGTTTGTATTTTAATGGTTTGTCAATTTTATCGTTTGTTCTTGACAATTTTCTAGTTATTTATTGTAATTACAATAATCCAGTTCTGACTCGTATACTGGCAACGGCGGACCACGGGTGGTACCTAAGATGGCGGAAGATACCACCTGCCAGCACCCTCCTTTTTTTAACATTCCATTATCAATATTAATCATGAAGCAAAGGGTGCAATAGTTCTTCATATCGGTTGATTATAAATCTTTTCGTTCCATATAACAGTGATTTAAAGTGTACAAAGTGCTCTCAATAAATTAAATACATCCGCCATAACCTCCAATTAATACATTTTGGAGCAGACCAGCTTAATTGACATGCGATCAAATTTTTTAACTCAAGTGATCCGACGAATACCCATGAAAATTCATTGGAAATTAGGATAACAGTGAAGACAGGTGAGTTTCAATTATTATTAAAGTATGTCATCAGTAAGGTTGTGGAACGACGAGGTTAGGGATGATGAATCACTTCTCCTCGAAGATTAGTTTTTCAAGTATTTGAAAACACGAACGTACAGCAGTTTTCTCTTTATAGCCCCATTGACAGTCCTATTTACTATAATTGATTTACATCTAATCTTACTCATACAAAAAAAAATACTCAAAAAAACTCGTGTTACAAGCATCATCAACTACATCATCAACGTCTTCGTTCCTCATTCAGAATGTAGAGCACTTACAGCCTCCGATAGTCTATTTTGTTTAATGCTGCACTGCCGGACACACATCAACCTGTAGTCAAACTATAACCCTTTTTAATCCCAATTTCAGGGATGTTTTCCACGTTTCACCTCTTAGGACGATTTTGGTCATGGAAGTAAGGCCAACACTCTGATCACTGGGACCTTTCTCATTCGAAATTAAGGAGTCCAAATTTTCACACATAGGAATATGCTAGAGGGACTGATAGTGTACGCTTAGAAAGGGCTGACTCGCCATTTTATGGCATCAGCGATCCATCCTGATGGGTCCAATCCATTGACTTCATCCAAAGCTTCGGTAGAAGGGCCCCGGGACTACAAGAAAAGGTCTTCGATTTAGTCAACGTCTTATACGCATTAGGTGTCAATACACAAGCTGAGAAGGACGAGGAGAACACCACGCAACTGAGCTACCACCAATCAAGGACCATTTTCTATGTGAAGGGGTTGGCCCTTGACTCCATCGTCATTTACTACCCTGAGGAATTCAACTGGCCATTAAGATGTCCAATCAGTCCTTTATAGTTGAGGCACTGTTGTTGATTCTTTGCTTCTCAATCAAAACCCTACGTTTCTCCATTTTTCACCAGCAATTATTCGATGTCATGTATATGAGAAGGTAATTATGGAACCAATGGGATTTCAGAGAGGCTTGGATGCACTGTTATTTTTATCATCGTGAAAATACTGATAATGAGAAAATAGGGTGATTTGAGAGATTGTTGATGATAGTTTTGCTGATAGTTTTAGTAATGAGCTATTTTGGGGAAGATTTCGGAAAATATTTCTTACGGGAAATTATGTCCACTAAAAACAAGACACTTTTGACATTTATTCATAAATCGAATAGTTTCAGAGATCTTTAAAAATAGTTCTACCATTTCTGTAATAAGCGAACAATATAAGAAATGTAATTACTATACTTGCAGTGATTGCAGGAGAGACAACTCGGAGAAAATTTTGGTACTTCACCGAAGCAAGGAAATGCCAATATTTATCTTCGCTGGTGACAAAAGAAAGGGTGAGCTGGAGAGTAAGACTCACCGATGACTTAGAAATAGAGCGACCCAGCAATAATACATAAAAGTGTAGATCTATCAAGATGAGCTCCTTATTGAAATCTATAAATTTTTACTTGTCGAAAATGATAGTCGAATGAAAAATGAAAAGTCAGGCAAGTGAAAAGAGAAAGTATCAAAGATTTCCATCATTGAAATTAGGTGATATATTTAAAAAAATTAGAAATGAGTCTCTGAAAATTAGCAATAAACTGCATTCGAGAAGTTACCCCGTTGAATTTTATAGTCGTTCATTTCTAAAATTTGAGAAGAGATTCATCTGAATTAAGAATTAATTACAGAAAATGAGTGAGATGTATCTAAGAATCAAACCTTTATTTCCTATTTGATAAATTCTAAAAAATATACTGAGATCATTGTTTCACATTTCATGCCTACAAAAAAGATATCAACCATTTTAGTATCTCTCACATTCTGAGAATATTCAACAAAAAATTAAGTCATATCAACTCATGTCGTTTTGATATTTACTGAGTATCAAATCGTAACTAATAAGATACTTTCATTGCTTGCAGAAAAATCAGCAATAGAATTATGGAAATGAGCTCAGTATTTCACTTCCAGTACGTAAATATGAAACAAAAGAGTTGAATTAATGCGACGAGATAATGAATTAATACTAAAATCAATTTTCATATCATTAGATGCTTAACAGTGTTTTGGCACTTTGGCAGTATTCATGGCTAAACTAATAAAATTCAAACTTGACGAAGTAACGACGATTAAACTCGCTTTCTCATGCTTCCATTCGTCTACAAAACATTCCTACTCAACAGCATCACATGGCCCGACGGATCCAACGTACATAATTGCAGAACGAATTTACTGACATTTTAAATAACAATTCTTTACAATCATAGCTTCACTGACATTTCAAATAACAATTCTATATAATCATAGCTGGATAAATTTCATATAAAAAATGTGTCTTGACATTTGAAGGACAAGGAAAAACCTAGCCAGGTTCAGTAGAAGTGAGAGTATCATGAATAGTTTTAAAAGAGAATGTCAAAAATCCTTTCATAGAGGTCCTTTTCGAACAAAGAAACGTCTATTGATATTTGTATTCAACACGTCTATTGTTATTTATCCCACAAATAACCAATTATTCAGTTTACTTCATAATTCCGTGATTCAACATTCGTGCATTGAAAATTTCATTTTTCTATTTTTTGTTCTCTAGGTCAACGAAATAACATCTCGCATCCTTCGCTGATTGGTGCAACACCTTGGAAATTGGCGCAGATTATGGTAAAAGCACTATGATCTATGAGCCTGCTATTTTTCGTGGCTTCCTTAAAGAGACCTTTCTTTATCAGAACACTGCACTATATTTATAATAGGTACTAATGAACATAATAATTAATTACTCGAATTATCCTTTTCATGAAATTATTCAGGATGAGAGACCAAAAATTAATACTTTTTCAGATATTAGAGCCTCCTTACCAAGTGCTTGTATCCAGCTGAGGACATTAAAAATCATAATCGCGTAAAATTCGTGTAAAAATGAAATTTTAGTTTTCAAAAAACTTGTCATTGGAAAGTCGTAGAAATTAACTCACATGAATAATAAATTGTAATGACAATATATTCTCGTGGCATTTTCACTCCACAGATATTCTAATGTAATTTCCAGCATTACAATGCTCTACCCCAAGGTAATTTGATTTACTTTGAAAGGAAAGGTGAATGAACCAACTTTGATTAAAAATTGATATTTGCACGGACTGAAAATGAACGCCAATAAATTTAAAATTCTGATGTGATTGACAACAATATTACTTGAAAAAAAATCTTGTGCCTCTATCTTCAATATTTTAGCATTGGAGTTCACGACTGATCAACAATTAGTAATTCCATTCAATATAGAGTATTGTTTTATGAACAAAAAAAGAAAACAAAAAGAAATACTTCAAAATATACCACAAATGATATTGCTGTTGTAAAATACCATGTAATCTACTCATGGTATTTGCACCAAGGAAAACGCTTGATTTTTTAAAGGTTTTCGAACTTCGCTTGCATCTTCAGTGTCTTGGCCTCGTGTCCCTCCTTCGGAAGGAAAATCCCCTGGTTCTCCCAAGCTATTTTCACGATCTTTTGCTGATGCTCGTGTAGCAGTTGTGGTTTCAGCGTTGACCCAGGTCCTTTGTTATTTCCTCCCAGGTTGTAGAACTTGAGGAGTGGAATTGGAAGTAGTCGATGTCCTGAAGCAATCGCGTTGTCTCGAGGGCTAATGACAATCAAAGCATCTTTGGAGTGGGGTGTTTGGAGTGCTCATAAGATCACAGATCAGCTATTTCCGATGAATTGTTCGATTAAATAATAATGATGAGACCTTTTCCCTGTCAAATTTCACTCATCCTGAGCTCTCGTACGTCATTTTGCGTTCTCAGAAATAATCTTAATATAAATTGCACTGATGGGTCGGACTTGTTCTTCAGGTTTACATGCACGTACAGAGGATTTTATATCGTCGAATTCTTGCCAGTGTCCTGAGGCTCGACGACAAAAAGCTGTGAAATGGTCTTCATGCTCAACGATAACACCAACGAGTCTAGAAACGTAATGAAGAAAAATTAGGAGTGAAGTGATAAAATGAGCCAAAGTGGTAGAATGATTACATTTTTTGAAAAGTCCGTAATATTATTACTACCACTTGCAGATTACTGTAGAAATGTAATTAATGTAAAAATAAAGGTAATTTCGGAAAAGAATATAGACACATAGTTTTTTTCTTTCACCACTGGAATTAAAATGATTTATGTAAGAGAAAATTTAGAGAAAAAAATTTTCAAATCGTCTGTGACTAAAAATAGTACGTGCGCGTTAGCATAATCTATTTCTCGAGAATGTCTCAGATTGTGATGAAAATAGCAGAATTTGCGTAGAGAGCTCTTTTGTAGAAAAACATTATAGTTACAAATAAAGTTTCCCTGCAAATTTCACCATCTTCATTAGATTCGCAGTTATNTCAATGCACTACTGCACATAGAGATTAAAATCTAGAAAATTCACGTTGTACGCGTGCTTCCAATAATATAAACTTAAAAAAATGTACACAAAGCGAATGTATACACCTCACCTGTACGTGATGTCCAAAGTCAGCTGTGCTGGAATAGTATTCAAGCAGACGCTTATCGGAGATGAATTGTAGTCAATCCTTGTCCCAAGTTCTACATAAATATGATTGTTACCCTGTGCTGTTTCAGTGCAAGTAGAGTATCCACATCTACATTTTTTGTCGCAGATGACAGTCTGAAACTCTAGAGCTGCCTGAAGGGCCTTGTATCCTTGACGACGGATGATTGAATGATCAATCTGGATCGAATAATTGTGTTCGCTATCACCTGAACAAATGTTTAGTTTGCACACAGTAGTGTGGAAAGTACTGGGATAAGACACGAACAATTTTGACCACAAATCGGTGGGGTTGTCAGTGGCCACATAAGACGTTACGAAAGCCAGGTTTTCTGCACTAGTCACTGATTTCGTACTCTCATAAAATGGTTTAAGTAAGAGGAAGCGTTCTTTGTATAAATCTGCTGTGACTCCTGTCTCTCGTAATTTCAATATGAATGAAAAAGTTTCATTGTAGACACCCTCCATGAAACTTCGATAATGGCAGTCATCCAGAGCTGCTGTCAGCAGAATAGATGCGAGGGAATCGAAAGCACAGGTTCTCCTCATGAAGTACACCTTACCATCGATCTTGTAAGTGCCACAGTGCACCGCATTCCTCAATAAGTAATTCCGGCGCTTGGTTCTACCTTTCGAAGGTATTTCGTGCGAATTCTTCTCCTTATTTGCCGTGAGATCCACAACGGCTTCTGGACATGACATGAAGAATTTTGCAATCGAAGGTTTTTTCGCTCGCGAATACGTCGGATTTTCTTCACGTCCTCGATCATTAGATCCGCTTAGAACAGGAGACGGTGTTTCAGGTACATAGAACCCACCATCATTATTGATAGACTCATGAAGTGCATTGGAGGTCTCGTCAGCCTCGGTAACCCCATGTGGCGCTGTCACGTGTGTCTCATTCTGTTTTTTTCTTGACCGAGAAGGTTTCTCAACAGGTGTCTGTCGCATCATGGCCTGATCTGCAGATCGATTACTTGAATTCCCGGGGGGAGTTGATGGAGTAGTGGAATTTCCTGGGTTTAAAGAATTAAACAGTGAGTTCGAGCATGCAGGAGGGGACATTGGCAGATTAGACGAGGTGGATGTGTTGATACTTTCGATGTCAACACGTGAACCAGAGTGGGACTCATTGGATCCATCCCCACATTCTTCTGTTGATGACTCGGGTTCTTCAACAGAGTACTCTGTCGTCTCTAGATCTCGGCATTTGAATCGAGTGTAGCTTGTCCCTTTATTCCGCCAATTCTCCTCAGCTCGTGAAATTGAATCACTGTAATTTGCTTCATGTGCACAGTGTCCAGTGGCTTTTTCACTGGTTTCTTTCATCTTGGGTTCAGTGATTTTTATACCCTGAGCTCTAAAGTCGAGAAGTTCTCCAGAGAAGTCCCTACTACCTCCAATCAAATGACGAAGATGAATGCGAAGAAAATTATCGACATCCTGAGGCAATGTATATTTCTTACACATATCTCGTTTGATTTCGCGAAACCCACGTTCATTGTAGCTGCTTGTAGCATGTTCAGCATAATATGGAAGACAAACTGAAGTCCAAAGGGGGAATATTCTCGCATATTCCACCAGTCTATTGCCAAATGCTGGTAGACGATAGAAATTTGGAATAGAACCTTCAGAGCGGGTTTCTAGTGCTTCATCTTTCAAATTTTTGAGAAACATGCCAAGATCGGGGGCTTCTTCACCCAGATCAACATCTGGAGGTATTGGCTCATCATCTGGGGGCTCAAGAATTTTCAGGAATTCATCGACATCCAAGGGGCGTTTTCTAATCATTTCTTGCAATTTCAGTCGGGCTTCTTCAGTGCTCTGGACTCGTTGTTGTGTTAATTTCAAACTAAGAATTGAGTCATCAAATTCTTGAAACGACACGACACATGTGAACATAAACACTTCGATAAAGTCTTGAAAATTCTGGCAATCCATCATGATTGCGATGAGCCGAATGTAAAAATCTCGAACCTGGCGAACAGGATGATTATTCAAGCACTTTAATCGACACCAAACTTGAATAAAATGGAACGTGTCAAGACGAATGCACGTTGATACCAAGCTTCTGGGCACGTGTTGACCCTTTGATATCGCCTCAAAGCATATTGCTATGTAATGCTTGATATGCAAATCATTTAGAGCTCTACAACAAGCTATCCTCAATGCTTCAGAGCCATCAATGACAACCTCGTTTGGCTTTTGATAATCTACTGTACGAAGCCAAGTCCTCAGCCAAAATTCGATTTTCTCACTTTCTTGAGACTCTGATAGCATTTGGAAAACAGAGATGCTGGATTTATTAAAGTGGATCATTATCGTGTACAGAAAGACATGAGCAGATTCCAGCTTCAGAGGACGTTTTAATTTTCTCACCAAACTGCCGGTGGAGTCAATAGAGATCTTCGACGTTTTGTTGTGCATATAGCGGTATTGCTTGTAAACACTCTTCTGCTCAGCTATACCATAAAATGTGAAATATGGAGAGTAACCAGTATCAATGATTGATCCCATGAATTCTTTTTCATATTTCGTCCTTTCAATAGTCTGAATCATGTCTTCATTTTTAACTCTATTCGTACCAAGTTCTTCAGCAATGGCTTCTTTCTTAGCATGGCGCAACACGTCGAGAGGCGGTTCATTTGGTCCACCTATATCTCCTCGTCTCAGATGTTCTCTTGCTAGTCGTTTCTTTACATTGTTGGCACTGCCTTCAGCTACAGCAGCTTTCCCAAGCTGTTTCCTCCTGTTGCCGTTGAGTGGACGTTTTACATTCTCATGTATCTCTGCAGAAGTATCACGAGTCTTTATCCGAATTACCAGCTCCTCTGTTGAAGATGAAGGCTCCTTATCAACATAGCCCCGGAAACGATTGTTGCATTTCTTGCTCCGACAAACTCCTTTGATTTTTATGAAATGTAAACGATTTTCAGACACGTTCACTTCACCTCTTTTGAAGACGAATGCACAAGGAAGTCTCCACTGCCTCCAGAATGCAAGGCTCACTACGTTTGTCCAAACTTTGGGTCTCAAGGTGTGACTAGTTCGGTGATTGTCGTTCTCCAGTGGTTTGATCTCTTGCCATTCTTCTGGACTCAGCACCAAATCAAAATCTACTTCCTCATCATATTCTTCTGACTCACTTGCTTCAGGTTCCAAGTCATCATCTTCTTCTTCATCATTTTCTTCAGGAAGAATCTCATCCTGAAGAAAATTTAACTGTTGAAGCTGTAATTTTTCCCTCGCAGCTGTGACGATCTTTCTCCTGTTTTCCTTAACATTGACGCGCCAACATGACGCAGACCACAAGCCTTTTGTCTCTTCGGATAATTGATCCCAAACACGATCACTATGGACAGGTGGGTAGTCACCACTGAATTTTTCTCCAAACTTTACGAGACAATTTATTGCTGTATCTTGTGGCACTCGACACTGAGGAGGCATCT